ATGGTACTAGGAAAGTCAAAGCTAATCCTTTTTCTCGAAATTTTTGACTTCAATGTCCCTTTAGAAGGCCAGATGAAGCACATTTCACGCAAGCTAGCAATGATCCTTTGGGAAAATTATACAATGCTGATGCTCAATGCGGCCTGCTTTTTGTAAAAGCCTCCATTCCAGGCTGGCCGGTACGCAAATGGTGAATATTCCCGTCCATCCGCCTGCGAGGCCATCTGTGTTGCAGATGTGGTGGTAGATGAGCTGGTGGGGCTGTGCCATTGGCCCTTCCTCTCCTCCTTCTATCCGTCGATGGGACAGGTGGAGGGCTGGAGAGAGGGCCCAGGGAGGGCCCAGATGGGGGCCCAGAGGGGCAGATGCCCTCCTCCCACCACCCCTTCCCATTTCTCCGTATTAGCAGCTGTGGGTGCAGCCGGCAACTTTCCGGTGGGGTTCGTGAGCTGAATGGAAAATTTTTGAAAATTTGTGTGCGTCTAGAGGAAAACTGGGAAATCCTGAAGCTCCATTTTATCATGTATTTCCGAAAATCCAGCGATTTAGGTAAGTTTTCAGACTTGCCGGTCCCTTTAAAAGCACAGGACCCTTAAAAACCAAAAAGCAAAAAAATGCTATCCGGGGATCGAACCCTGATCCTCAGCTTGGATGGCAAAAGCACTATCCACTAGACCATGGTCGAATCTCAGGCTTAAACAAAAAAGTGTTTTTCAAAAGGTGACAGAATCTAGTGGATATATGGCTTTACAGCCCCTTTAAAGGATCCAACAGCTTTTAAAACCCAAAAAGCAAAACGTATTTCCTCTCGCGGGATCGAACCCGGACCCTCAACTTGACAGGCAGCGGCGCTAGCCACTAGGCCAGAGCGCATAAGTTAATTTTTTTAATCGGGTAAAATTCGATATGTTTTTCCAATTTTGCAGGCTTTTTCCTTTCCAATTTTTTGTAATTGGAATTGGTAAAATCAGAGTATCGCTCCGGAATTTGAAATTTTCCGGATTGTCAGGATTTTTGAGGTGAATTTTCCCCTTCGAATTTCAGCACGGAAATTCGGAGGCGCACCTGGCGGAACACGTGTTCGTGCTCCTCCGGCCCGTTGTTTCCGGCTGCTCATTTAAGGGGAGGGGCAACTCCGAGAGGCAACCCCCCTGTAAACGAGCCCTTTTGGAGTGGTGGCCATAGAAGAAGAAGAAGAAGAAGACAATCCACCCCACCTGGGCACTCACTGACCCACATGCAAATGGCCCGGCACTAAAAAACGCGGCGGGAAGGATGGTTCCACAAAAATACTGTGGACACCCGGGAGACTGTTTGGGTCTTTTGTGGGAGAGAGAGAGAGAGAGAGAGAGAGAGAGAGAGAGAGAGAGAGAGAGCTGCCACCGTACCGGTCCAAGGTCGCAAAATAGGCGAACAGCAGCCGGAGAGTGGCTTTTTAAAGGAACCAGCAAGGCCTGATGGCGGGTTTTTTTGCTGGCTAGGGATACTTGCCTCACAGTGGCGTCGCCTATCGTACATTTGCGTAGCCTATCGTCGCGTCGCGTAGGCTATCGTACACTTGCGTACCCTACCGTACAGTTACGTTACCTATCATACCGATGCGTAGCCTTTCGTACAGTTGTGTAGCCTGTCGTACAATATCGTAGGCTATCGTACCATCCAGTAGACCATCGTACAGTTGAGTAGCTTGTCATACAATAGCGTCGGCTATCGTACAGTTGAGTAGCCTATCCTACCGCTGCGTAGAATATCGTACAGTTGCGTAGCTTATCGTACAGTTTCCTAGCCTATCGTACGCTTGCGTGGAATATGGTACTCGAGATGTGGAAGTTCTACCATATCTCTGCGTAGCCGCCCAAAATCTTGCATTAATGACATCTGCAAAAAGTGCGGCTTGCGCAACCTACCGTATTGGTGCGGAGCTCATTTAGGGATCGGCGAGGATTTTGCCTTCTCAATCCCTTTAAAATCTACAAAAACAGCCCCATAACATTAGAGGGGGTGCAGGTGCGGTATGTAATCGAATCTTAGCCCGACACTAATCGCCCCCTTTTCTATACCATGCCCTCGTAGCGTCCACAGGTGTGCTGTGGAGAGGAGAGAGAGAGAGAGAGCGAGAGAGAGAGAGAGAGAGAGACGAGTTACGCAAGGCTCCTCATTGCGCCCTCCCCACCGTTCTTCCCATTGCCATTCCAGGTGACCCCCTCATGCCCCTAACTTTCCACCCATCCATCCATCCATCATTCTCTTCGAGATCAGTCACATGCAAATTATGGCCCACCTATGGTTATGAAGTTGAGGGCCAACTTACCTTACAATAGGGCTATTCCGCAAAAATCTTTACTAGCTTTCCCCGCCCTTAAAAAATTCCAAAAAAAAACTGATAGCTGTCCATTCAAGGATGTTGTTTCGACAAAGCAACTCTGCTAGCTTGCCATTGCGGATCTGAGGGATTACCTGAGAAAAACAGTTAGTTCTGCCAGGAATCTCTGCTAGCTCTCTCTCTCTCTCGCTCTCTCTCCCTCTCTCTCTCCTTCTCTCTCTATCGCTCTCTCTCTCTCTCTCTTTCGTCAACTAGTTCTCAAATGATCACTGCCAGCCTGCCAGAACCCAGAGAGGGTGGATTCCGCAAAGAAACTCTGCTAGCTTGACGCCTTTTAATAAGCATTCTAAAATATGTAAAGCGACCATCTCCAACCATCACTGCTAGCCTTTTTTCACTAGATTCCCCCTGTCACGGCCCCTTTAAAGCCAGGTGCCCGGCGCGGAGAGTCAACATTCGACTACCACTAAATGTACTACAAGAAGGAGAAGGACCTCTCCCTCCCCTGTGTCCCCCTCCATTCCGCCGTTGCGCAATCGAACGCCGCCTGGGCCTCTGAATTCAGCAGATGCTTGCAGGGGGGAAGTCCCAGCTGGCCCCCCTTCTGGGGCCCACCATTGGGCCTTCACCCAGGGCCCTTGACGAATTAGCCGCCGAGGGGCCCAACTTCTCAAAGTTCCGAAATTATCGATGCAGACTTCACCGTGGCTCGTTTTGGAATTGCTAGCGAAATCTGCATTCTATGGTCTGTTAAAGGTACTAGAAAGCGGGAAATCTATAGGAGCTTGGTTTTTATTGTTTTCAGTGCCTCGAACTCAACGCAGGCTTCACCTCCGCTTTTCCTATCGTAATCGATCGATTTCCGCCCTTCTACAGAATCCGGCCGATTTTGAACCGGATTTCAAGAGGATTTAAGAATTTCTACGATAAAACAATCGTGCTCCATCGCCAAAATTCGAATTCGCCCAGCCTGGCCCACCCAAAAATGCGATGTGCGCCGCCTGGCAGAATGGCAGCGCTGAAGGGCACACAGCTGTGTCTCTCTATCCGTCGTGTCTGTCTGTCTCTCTGTCCACCATCCGCACCTGCGTCCTTTCATCTGCCATCTACGCCCAGCTCGGCAGCGTGGGGGCGTCCGTGAAACGCTCGTCGAATATATAAAAGCTGAAAACCTCCAGATACGCGCTAAAGTCCGACTATACAGCTCCAATAAGGAGCAGGTCAACGACAGGCCTGTCTTGCCGGCCCCTTTAAGTTATCGGCCTGTCTCTTACTTCAAATACTACCAGTATACCACTCAAAAATTACCAAACTATAGGTGCAAATAATTCAAGTGCCAGCAACAACCTGAAATAACGAAGGAGGGTGCGGAGTCACCGCCGTTGTGGATGGGGGATAAACATATCCCACTGTGCCCTCAGGTGTCGAGCACAAACATCACAACCCTTTCACCGGCACGACTCGATGACCCGGGGTCTCGTAAAGCATGGCTCCAGGGCATCCGAGTGATGTTGCGACGGCGCGGTGACGGTGACAAGGTCACAAAATCGCGGGGTCGATGCTAAATGCGTGGGAATTTGTTTCAAAACCGAGCCTTATCTTGGCAAAGTTGGCACTGATTACACGAGAATTTCGCTGTTTTCAAACGTAGCAGAATAGCCATATTTTAAGGTTATGACGTTTTTACCCCTACAAGGGCTACTGGGGCCTGGCTTGGCCAAAAAATCGGTTCGAACTTAGAAAAGAAATCACTCTTCCATTAATTCGGAAAGCACATTGAGAACAGCGTGGAATTCTGGCTCGGAAAGGCTTGATTTTTCGTTCAAGTCGACCCAGTTATTTCAGGAGCCAAGCAAGCTAAGCCTTTAAGCTTCGAATCACGACGCTCTGTAAGCTTTCAAAGCTTCTTGCGAGTCCTAAGCTCGCAAAGCTTTCAAAACTCCTTGACCCTAAGCTGTTAAAGCTTTTATTGAATAAAATACGAAACATTTCAAAAATCTCGCGAAGCTTTCAGATCTGGCTCGAACCACGAAGCTCGATAAGCTTTCCGTTTTCCAAGCCCTGTGGTCTTTAAACTCCACAGTTACACCAAAAATTGTGATGAAGCAGAAGATTGGTACCCAACCGACCCCACCAAGCAACTGTTTCCCATCACAAAAAGTTGGGCGTGGTTGCAGCGGTGGATCCCTTTGGTGCACAGGTGTTCTGCCTTGCCCACCCCTTTAGTGGGCGTGGCTTCGCGGCTGGGCACGCTGGCCAGCGGCGACATCGATGCCATTCCGTCGAAGAGCCCCACCCTGGCTGGACACCCCATTCCGACAGCTGCCCACCCCATTTCCTCGACGCTCGTTGCGCTTCTATTAGCTGAATACGCGGCGCTTAGGACCCAATATTACTATATAGTATTTACTTATTAACAATCTTCATTTTCCTAATGCCTTACTTTTCAACGGCGAATTCTTTATAGATTTAACGAATTTGTTCCCACCGATTGGCAGAAAACCCCCGTTTCTGAAGCTCCTTTCAATGCTACCACTAATAGCTTTCATATTCCACCATTTTTTCATTAATTTCGGCTTTTCGTTCAATCCTTGCCCTCACAACCCGAAAAACCCTCCTAAACCCTATAATTTCAGCCACCCAGCTAACGGCTTCACTCAACAACTCAACCCCCAAAATGAAGACCCTATCCTACCAGAGAAGCGGTAAGCACCTAAAAATTGTGCTCACCTTTCATGATTATTACAGGAGAATTCGCCAGAGCCGGATCCCCTCACCCAAAGACCGGTCGCGTCCGGAAGGCCACCCAAGAATGGCGCGAGGAGAAAGCGGTAGGTCTAAACAATTAAACCACTAGACTAATCAAATACTGAGCCAAATATATCCCTTTCTTTAGATGGAGGAAAAGCTGCGCAAGCTCGTCGGCCACTCCGAGGAAGAGGACCAGCTCGCCCTCCTTATTTCGGCCATCGAGCGGATAAGGAACTTGCAGCAGCAACTCCAGGTTAGTCCTAGAAGTAACTCTAAAAGAGCCATTCTGTAAACCCTATAAGCTAAAATTTACCGATCATTTTCAGACTGACAAGGAGAATGATATGCCCGACGCCCTCGCGGAGCTCATGGAAAGCGTCAGCACCGGCGAAAAGTGACCTCGAGACTGAACTCTCCATCTTCCCAACACTTTCTGTGATCTCCTCGTCCCGCTTTTCAATTTGGCTTGGATTGTTCTCTCGCATTACGGGTATTTTGCGCAGATCTGTACACAATTGCTTCCAAGATTAGTGCTAGACGAAAATACATGAATTCTATGGTTGCTCGCCCTCAAATACAGGAAATATTCACGCGCCACTACGGTGCCGCAAATCCAAGAAGCATTATTATTGCTAGAAGCGAGTGCCATCTGCGAGCCCCTTGCCTGCCGCCACCTGACCATGCAGCTGCTCGTTTTGGGCTGGCTGAAAACAGATGGCATCACAACTGGCATACGGATCCCCCCAGTTGCGCACAATGGCAACCGATCGCCACAACCAACTCCGTGAAGCATTGACCAAAAATTTATTAAACAAGTCCAAATAGAATACGTGCATGTACAAAAATCAAGTCTACCGGTCAGACGATGTTAAAGTCATGCTTGATCTGCTCGGAAGTTTTGCCCCGCAGCCTGTTCGAGACGGTGCCACATCCCAGATGCACCAGACCCGGAATTTGCAAATAGTTTGCGGCCTAGAACAAACTGATCGGTCAATCTCAAAATCTCACCAAGAGAATTTCGAAGATAACGCTGTTGTCGACCTTGAAAAATTCGGTGTCCCAAGCCGGGATGGTGACCGGGCCCTTTTCCTTCGGCTTCTCTACTTCAGTCTCCTCCTTCTTCGGGTCGTCTTTGTGCTTTGCGCACCAAATCAACACCTAAAAAAAGTTAAAGCAATTGGAATGTGAGCCGACCTTTCGCATGATCGGCGCGGTAACGTTCGGGAGCGGAATAACGCCGTCCTCACCAACGTCGGCGTCCTAAGTAAAAAATTGCAGAACTTTGCGCAAAAGTTACCGCCAGCAGCGTGGAGACGAGTCCCGATTGTGCGATGACCTTCTTGGGCACGGTGAAGATTTCACCATCGCTGGTCTCAAGCTTCAGCGACATTCTGGAAAAGGGAATTGAGTAAAATGTGTGGAAACTAAGCTATTGACGTATGGGGAAATTTGAAAACGGTTGAGAAGATTAGGATATAACGACTTGATCAACTGAAGATGAATAAAAATTCTAAAATTCGGGCCGGAAAAGGATAATCTGCGAAAACGGAGAAGCACGACGTTTCGGCTGTACGATCCCATTCCCGCCGCGATTCCGGCATGGCGTACACCGTCGTACTACCCTTCCAGAATTAAAATTTTTTAAATAAGAAAATAATTAAATTTTAGTGTGATCTCGAAAAAGCTTTTGTAAAAAATTATGGTTGTAATAATAAGTTTGCCTTCTTGCAGGTCGGAAAGTTAGGCCGACATGTGAGGGTGCTGTTCGCCTTTTCATTTCCGATCCGGCTAAATTTACCGCTTGAACCCACCAGACGTGCTTTTCGACAATGTTTTTGATATAAATTCACATAAATCCCGCCCAGTATACTGTTTGCCGAGCGGTTTAAACGTTTTTGAGAGAGGTTCTTCAAGGGTGGTGCTTTGAGGTTTACCTCGTAGATCTGCAGTAGAGTTTCTCGAACTGCTTGAACTTTTTGAAAGAGAATAGCTCCGTCTTTTCTATAAGGCACCCTTCGTTTTTCGTTTTTTTTTCTGAATCTGCGAAGATAATCGCATATCTTTCGCGTTTCGCCTGTTTTGCCCCAAATTCCAGCGGTTCAATGCCAAATTTTCCATGGGCTTCTCGGCGTTGGCGATCAACGGCTGCTGTGCCAAGGGCCCAAGGCAAAATAATTAAAAGGTAGCACATTTAACAGGTGCGGGCGATGGGTCTCCACCGGCGCTGAGTATTTATGCGTTTGGTGCGCACCTGACGCGACAGCTGAGATTCGCTCGAAGCGCCAGAAGGCCCCTGCAGGAGGGCTGGCGTTCGTTTACGGCGGTGGGTTGGGGATTGGCGTTTATTTCGTTCACTTTTTTGCATTAGGTGTAGGTGTTCTCATTGGTAATGTTTCCAGATCGCTACGGTCTTTTCAAAGCGCGATTTTCCAGGTCGCATCTGTGCCGACGGCGGGCCACGGGGGTTATTGTGTCAGGTGCTTGAGCCGTGACCAGGTGCCCGGCCGAGGGGCTGGCATATCCATCTGCTGTGACGGTCGGCGGTAGCGAGCCGTCGAAATTATCAAGGGACCGCCGGCACGACGGGCAAGGCGGACACCTGTGTCAATTCGTGGATTTGTCAACTAGGGGGGTAGCGTCGGAATTGCGTGCCTTGTTTGGGTTTTGAGGCGTAGCCTTTGCGCGTAAGCGTATCGTTCTAACAAGTACAGAACAAGTACAACCTGTTTGTAGTACAGATAGCGCAGGTCTCCTCGAAAGTTTGTTTTTGGTAGATTTCTCGAGTAAATTGTTGGAAGATGGCATTTTGAAGGTTTGGAGAAGCCTATCATGTGCAGAATTTTATGCTGATTCCGAATTAGCTTTCAGAAATCGCGGAATATCTAGCTTTGACAAGTTTTAGCTTATTTTCTGACGAAGAAAGAGGTTAAATGAGTCTTTTTACCTTATAGGCCTCAAAAACGCAGATTCCACTTTCCAATTTTTACGTACGCTATTTTGTTCAACTTTGATGTTATCGATTCTGACTATTGTAGAAATCCTCATAGACTTTAAAGCCCTGTAGCACAAAGAGGGCTCAGAGATACAAAAGCGGCCGCCGGCCACAATATTCTCTTAACCCTACAATTTTTTATAATACTTTATTTTCAAATCCTGGAGATAATTTAGCGACCCGATTGCCCATGACTCGTCAATAAAGCGCCCTTCCCATTACCCCTGCGCCCTAAATTGCGACATAAATTCCGCCCCGAGGTGCTCTCGTTATACAATCGGCTCGTCAAAAGGCGATCACACCTTGTCGAGGCATAGATGGGCAGCAGTAGCAGCAGCCGGAGGGGGTCAGGTGCATAGATGGGGCCCTTCGATGCAGGTGAGCAGGGCCAACCAAGAGCATCTGTCCCCAGCCCCGCGGCCACACCCGGCCCGGCCGACGGTGGTTACATTCGAGATTGTTGGGAAATTAGGCAATTTGGGGGATGGGTGGTCCAAGGTGCTGCGTGTTTAAAAAAGGGAGTACGGAGGGCTCCAATGGACGCATGGCCGTATGGTGTTTTTGATAGCTTGGTTTAAAAAGCGGGTATTTTCAATGAATCAGTTAGTTAATCGCGGTGTGTGGACTTTCTAATGTTCTAGTTGTTTTGCTTCGGTGTTGCTAGGGTACTGGACTGTTAACAGGGGGGGGGGCAATTTTTCGCAAGGGGGAAAACATCTTTTTGCAGTTTCACGTTTTTATTGGGTTTTGATTTCTTAAAAGCTAGAAAAAAGGCTTTAAACAGGGACAATTCGAAATCGCCAACTTTTTTTTTGCGGTGATTTTTCATTACATTTTTGACCAAAAGTCGAATATTTTCGAAAAATTTTAAACTTTTTATGAGGTCTTTATCTTTAAAAATTGTAAAGTTCTATAAAATGGCCTATATTTTGTAATGGGCTCGACGGAGTTGCCTGGAAAAGTTAGTTTTCCCCTTGACCGATGGCCGCGCAGCTATCGTCACCCATAGCAGCAAGTTTGGCTCGATTTTCAGCCCAACGGATCCTCGGTAACTCCAGAAAGTTGGACCGGGGCCCCCGCGCCCTGCACCTGACGCCCGCACCTGGTTCAACATCGGTTGAGGTGTCGGCTCCCTTTCAGGCGCCATCCTCTCCTCCCGGCACTCCATATGTCCGAAACATTTGCCAGCCGCTGTCTACCGCATATGGCATCTCTACAGGGTGTCCCAAAAAAAAACCCCCCCTACCTAGCGGTCCGCAGTCGATTCCGATTTTTACGATTTAGGTATCTATCGAAAGCTCCCGAAAAGGCGAGAAAACAAGGAGGGTTCATTTTCTTTATTATGCATTTTTATTCGCTAATTTTACGTCCAAAAACCATGAAAACTGCTAATTTGTGCAGGATCTGCATGCTAATTGCGAAATTCCTGTTGAAAAAATACCAGTTTTTTGAGAAAAACCTTAAATATCGATGGAATTAGATTAAATCTTAGAAAACGAAACCCGCTTGTTTTCTCGCCTTTTCGAGAGCTATCGATGGGTAGTTAAATCATAAAAATCGGACTTGACTGCGGACCGCTAGGTAGGGGGGGTTTTTTTTTGGGACACCCTGTACTCTTATGGCAACATGACCCAGGGCCTACATTGATCAAATCACCACCTGGCGAGAGAGTGGTTGGCCATACTTGTAGAATCGAGATAAACCTATTGTTTAAATAACTGAAAGCCAGCGAAAATGCTTCCGGCGCACAGTTTTCGGGGGTGTTGAGAAGCCAGGGGTAGTCGTCTAGTGCTATGGCTACAGTTTTTAAAGTTCGGCAGCGAATAGGGCCATTCAGCGCCTAGCTTTTCGGGACTAGGCTGTTAGCGGTGGGGGGACGATGAACGTACGTCCTCATAACGAAGTATTAACAGTTTTTATAACATTCAACGTAGCTCTGATACACAAAAAGCTCATAAAAAAATTTCGAAGTTTTTATGACGATTTGATCAAAAATTGTCAAAAAAAGGTCAGCGTGTTTTAAATATTTTTTTACCTTGTTATCAACAAAAACTACTAAAAACACTAAAGATAAATTATATTTGTTATCAAGAGGTAGTTAAAGGCGGAAAACAAATAAATTCCGCTCTGCGAAACCCCCCCGCTAACAGCCTAGTACCGCCTTTTCGCTAGGGTTACGCTTTGGATTTAGGATCTCTTAGGATTTTAGAACCTAACGTGTTCGCCTTTTCATTGCGTAATCGATGGCGAATCCCAATTTCCGACGTCTTCAAGGCGTTCAATAGCCGTTGCGGGTTGCGTGTCGCGGCCAGGATTTGCGTTTCTTCAAAACCCATTGCACCTCTGGCATAATCATTTATTCGATCTGGGCACAGCGTAGATGACCATGCCTGCCGGCGGGTACAAATCGGCGAAACGAGTGCGTACAAATATGAAGAGACGAGAAGATAAGGAAACGGATGATACTGGTAGACAAAAGAAGGACAGAGAGGGTGGCGAAAGGCAGTTACAAGTAAATGGGAGGGGCTTTTAATAGGATGGTAGTCGGGAGGTTCGAGTAGCTCGTGCTCATGATCCGACTCGCTTTGGCGTCTTCTTAAGCGGCTTCGGGGACGGGTCGAAGCCGATCTCCACCTCGGGCACTTTCTCGGTCAGCGACGCCTCGACGACGTGGGCTAAACGGACATGATTTTCGGAAATCAGGAGATGAACTAACGGGCGTTGGGCACGGAGGCGGTGCGGATCATCGACGGCTCGGCGCAGGCGATCTTGAAGAATTCCTTGTTTGCCGCCATCACTTCTATGACGTCCTGAAAGTTGATGTTTAGACCGTTTTAGCGGCGGCTCGGTCAGCGAGCAGTCCAGAAAGCCAGGTGAATTTATTTCTACCGGTGGTAGTGGGGGATCAGCGCCTGCAGCCGGCTTCCACCCGGGCGGCAGGGGCAACACGGCCGGTGGCGTGTACTTCGACGTGACCACGCCGATCGTCGTCGGGGTGTACTAAAAATATAAAATTTTAACGCTGTCTCCTCAACCATCTAATCTAGCTGTCCTCAATGATCTCTGTTAGTTGCCCCCTACCGTGCTTGCCGTCTCCTTGGACTTGACGACGACGATGGCGGAGGGCATCTGGGACTTGAGTGTGGTGTCGGACTTGGACGGCCCGGCCGGGTCGGGCGACTTGATCGACTTCATCTCGTTGGACTTCATCTCGCTGCACGGCGAGTTCGGGACGGGATACTGTAAAGTGTAAGCTCAGGGAGTGTACGCCTCGGAGTCGGAGTCAGTAGGTGATCAAAAATGGGATTTCGATTTTTCCTACTGTTACCACCCCTTTAAACTTCTAAAAAAAGCCGAAAACCGACGAGCAGTAAAGTAATAATTTATTCTCACGCTGATGCTTCGAAGACAAAAAAGTAGCTTTTCTAAGGTGGGTGCACTTGTTGGGGTCCGGGGAGTAGATGAACAAAAAGAGATGGGCGGGCGGGGGTAATTTGATGCTTTTCGGGGTGGTTATCCTTGGGTGGTCTGGCGTACCTCCTTCTTGGCGCGCTCGAGCAGCAGCTTGACCTTCTTGTTCTTGTTGACGCCGTTGTGGATGAGGAGACGGGCGGCGTCCTTCTCCGTCACCGCCTGGTCGTTCACTTTCACTGAAAAAACAATTGTGTGGTCATTAATGTAGGGATTTCGAGACGCTGTTGGGCAAAAAGCAAAAAGTTTTAGCGGCGTGAGAGTCGAACCCTGGTCTTGCGGGTGAGAGGCGAGCGCTTTACCAATGAGCGAAAGCTCCAGGAGGCACCCTGGTCAGCGGGACTCTGTTGAACCCACCGAGGATGTCGCCGGCCTCGACCTGCTTGGCCACCACCGACCCGTCCTCGATCATCGCCACCACCACGTGGCCCTCGGCATCCTGCGGGGAGTACGGTAGTTGGGGGAGTGTTTAGATCGGTTTTAAAGGTCTTCTAAAGTCCAAAATCTATACCTTTGTAACGAGCAGCCCGAGGATGCTGCCGCCCGAGTACCACACCAGCTCCATCTCGTGCAGCTCGAAGCCGGGCCGTCCGCCAGGGACTTGCTGGAATGCTTCTTAGAACCGAACCCTAACTACTGCCCCACCTTTACCGTAACCTTGACGGCCTCGTCGCGCTCGTACTCGATGAGGACCTTGCCCGGCGAGTTGGCGCTAATCACCTGGTAGAACTCGGCCGTGTTGGTGATCACCTGGAAGATGGGGGGTGTTTAAAGGGACGGAGAAGGCATCGTAATCGTCCCGAAAATCCAAAAAGATACCTTTCCATTCACATTCTTCAGGCAATCATTGACGAAGAGGTGGCCGAGGAATGCCGACGAGGGATACACTTTTGTCACCTAAAAGTTGATTCTCAAAGAATCTCTGCTAGCTGTCGGCCTGACCAGCTAGCCGAGATCTTTGAGGAAGCGCACCTTGGAGTCCTTGACATCGACGCCGACGGCGAATCCCTTATTGCCGAGCTTGAAATCGAGTACGGACAGCCTCTTCTCCGCCATCGCCAACGAGCCGTCGACGAGATCCGGAAATTCTGCTGGTCCAGAATGGATCAAGATGGAGATTATGCTTTTTATATTCCTGGATACAGGTAGATTATGGAAAATTTCCGGAATTCAAATTGAGTTATGCATAAAAACACTGATTGAAAGTTACATAGTCTCTCTCGCTCTCTCACCCTCTCTCTCACGCTATCTCCCTCTATTTCTCGCTCTCTCTTTCTCTCTTTCGTTCTCTGGAACTGGAACTCCCCGCCAAGAATCTTTGCTATCTGGCCCCTGCCAATTGACGTCGGGCAGGCTAGAAGAGCGGATAGGCGGACCTGTCTGTCCATCTCTCTCTCTCTCTCTCTCTCTCTCTCTCTCTCTCTCTCCGTCTCACGCTCTCGCTCTTTCTCTCTCTCTCTTGCTCTCTCTCGCTTTGTCACTCACTCTCTCTCTCTCTCTCTCTCTCTCTCTCTCTCGTTTTCACTCTCTCTCGCTCTCTCATTCTCTCTCGCTTTCTCCGTCGAAAATTTTCCTTTCGAATCCCTTTAAAACCCGACTAGCAACCGTTCGCCTCTCCCTTCAGAATGCATAATTGCCATATATGTGTTGGCCATCTGCTGTCGCTCTCTCTCTCTCGCTCTCTCTCTTTCTCGCTCTCTCTCTCTCTCCTCTGACCCCTAGATGGGCCCCCAGCTGTCCCATTCCTGGTCCCAACCCCCCTGGCACCACCCAGCCCCCGGTTTTTCCATCTACGGCAAAGGGTTGTAAGCCGGAAATGCTGGCGCCTTTCCCCTTTAATGTAATGCCTCTCTATGTCTCTCTTTCTCTTCATCTCTATTTGCCAATACAAGGGTCACATCCGGGTTGACCCATTGCCCTTCTTCGCAAACATTCGCAAAAGCTGACCCCGCCCTAACGTACCGGGCTTGGTTAGCTTGCTTTTGTTCCATTTTTTGTCGCTTAGGCAGCATGATTCCTCAAGGATCTCTGCTCGCTTGCCTCGGGTCGCGCACTTCTAAATAATCTATGCTAGATTGCCCTCAGTTTCTCTTTCTCCTAAATGGTCTCTGCTAGCTTGTCCTAAGAATTCTGATGAAGCCTAAAGGTTCTCTGCTATTTTGGCTTAGCTTGCACAATTCAATTTTTTTTGTGTTATCTTGCCCCAAAATCCGAAAATTCCTAAAGGATCTTGTCTAGCTGGCCCAGGAAAGCCAATTTCCTAAATGACCATCGCTAGCTTGTTCCGCCCTAACCGGCCCTGTCTTTCCTAAATAATCTCTGCCAACTCGCCTCTCCAGCTGTTTCAAAAGTTCCATGACGCTCCTCCTGACACTCGCTGGTCAGTGGGTGGCACGCGTAGTGGTGGCCCAGCACCGAGATCAAGCCGGGTGAGGGATGGCCATTGTGGGAGGGGGCTTTTCCCCCTAGAAAAGGACGATCAACAGACCGTACCTGGTCCCACCACGCTCCAACTGGGCCCCATCACACTGTCAGCGCCTCTGCACTTTTCATTTCGAGCCATGGCCGTCATTTCGGGTACGTTAGAGTACGGTAATAGACCGATTTACCGCATGTAATTGGGAAAAGTTATTAATCCATTGAACTACCGACTTGCCGGGCCCTTAAAACGCTCAATTCCTTGTTGAACTCTCGATTTCCGGCACAAAAAGTTAGTTTTCTATAGATTTGGCTTGACGAATCCTTTAAAATACCATAAAATAGCATGGCTACCGTAGATTACGCTACTTTACACCGACATTTCTCTATAATAAAAAATCTATGGACACTTTGACTTACCTGAGCCTTTAAAACTCTACACTACGGTCATTTTGGGCTTTTTTTGCCGGGATTACGGTAGCATACGGTATTTTAGGCGCATTTATGACCTTCCAGTTTTTTTAAACCCTCTTTCTGGTTCCTTCTTGAATATGCAAATTTCTGAGTGGATGACAGCTGGTGGGGGGGGGGACTGTCTGCCCCCCCCACCTCCCCCCTGCCGGGACGCCTGTCATTTTAGGGTTCGTTGCCTGGTGACCCTTGTTGAGCCCTCAACACTCGTTGCCATATTTTAAGGTTCTCAAAGAATTTCTGCCAGCTTACCAGACGTTTTCGTAAAGAATACCTGCTAGTTGGCGCTGAATTCTCAAAGAAACGCTGCTAGCTTGTCTTCAGTTTTTCAACTTTTTTACGTGTCGTCTAAATTTGCAACTAAAACCTCTACTGTTACCTCTGGCACTCAAAGAAATTCTGCTGGCTTGCCGCACGTTCCTAAAGAATCTCTGCTAGCCCGCCAGCTGCAAATCCTATATTTTCGGTTAGATGACGTTCTCATCCCCAAATTCCTCCCGAATCTCTGCTAGTTGACCTCCAAGGGTTCAGCGGCCTTTCCCTAGGGTCTAAAAACTGCGTGTTCATTGTTGCTGCTCGTAGTCGTGCTGGAATACAATTGAATAGGCTGGCCTAGATATATTCGATTGGTATGCTATTTAGTGGCAGTGTTGGGAGGGGGGAGTGGGTTGTTTCAGCTTCCTCTTGTCCTCCCTACTTACTATAGCCCGTCAACAGGATCGTCGCGGACTACCGGGTATCTACTTATTTTTTTGGGAATTCCTCCTGTCCCGGCTGCTCCAAATCGTGTCTTTTTGCCTTCTTTTATCTAATCCATCCATCCAGTTTTTACCCGATTTGAAAACGCGGCTGAAAGAAGGTTAAAGCGCAAATGATCGCGGCTAACCTGCCCTCAAAATACTGATTTTTCCTAAGGCAAATCTACTGGTTTCCCCTATTTTGAACGATTTTAAGTGCTCGCAAATGATAGCTGCTCGTTTGCCCTCAAGATCCTAAAGAATTTCCGCTAGTCTGCCCTATTCTTGTAGTCCTCTTGTAGTCTCTCTCGCTCTCTCTCTCTCGCTCTCTTCATAGAAAAATCCCAAATAGTAGGCCCGAATATTTCAAAAACTCCATGACGCTCCACCTGACACTCGCCGGTGCCAGGCGAAGCGTCACGGAAAGGGAAATATCGGGAAGTGGGGTGTTTCAGCTTTTCCTTGTCCCCTCTACTTACTATAGCTCCCCCGGTCTGTCAACAGGATCGTCGCGTACTTCCCCCGATACTACAAGCCCCAGGGGGTGCATAAAAAATGAATAGAGCTGCCGACGGGGGGAGAGTGTGCATAGGCATGGGGTGGAATGGAGGTAGCCAGTCTCTACCCCCCCCCCCCCTTCCATCCCACATCCCTAAATCGCGTTAGGATTTTTTTGGGAACGTTCTTTTTCCGGGGTGGGCCACTGGCTGACCTTCAGCCCAAGTGGGGGTTCAAGTGTTGCACGCCAATTTCGATCGGTTCACGTTTTTTCGGGTAATTTTTGGGTACTTCCGAGAAAATCCGCAAGAATCTAGGCTAGCAGGCGGAATAATTATTAGCGGATTGATGCTCTGTAAATATTTCAAAATCTCGCTTTTCGTCGCTCCCTCTCTCTGTCTCACGCTCGTTTCTCTCTCTCTCTCTCTCTCTCTCTCTCTCTCGCTATCTCTCTCACTCTCTCTCGCTCTCTCTCTCGCCGTCGCTCTCTTTCACTCGTTTTCAATCTGTTCCTCTAACTTTCACTGAATCTCTCACTCTCTCGCTTTCGCTCTTTCTCTCTCTCTCTCTGTTGTCTCTCTCACTCACTCTCACGCACTCTTCACTCTCTAAGATTGTCTCTTACTCTCTCTCATGCTCTCTCACTTTCCTCTCTTCCTTCGAAACAGAGTGGGGTTCGCAAAGATAACAAGCAAAGATTTATATGGAATTCGCCCAGAAGTCCCCAATGGTCATCGCTAGCCTGCCCTGGCAGGAGGGATTCCATTGGATTCAGGAATTTTCGACATCACCGAGGCAACTAGCGAAGATCCTTTTGGAAAATTGGCGTTGTGACGGCAGGCTAGCAGCAATTTTTGGTCATTTTTGACCATTGGTGTGTAAAACCGCCTCCGAATTTTGGCACTCTAGCATAGGCCATTTGGGGAAGAGGTGTGCCATCTGCTGTCTTTTCCCCTTATTCGGGACACCCGCTGTGGCTCAACCCCCCTGCTGCCGTTTCCATTTCCGCCACTCTCACTTTCAGCCTTTGTATTTTTGGGGCGCGGCGACCTCACTGTCTGTTATGTCAACCCGATGATTTATGCGGACTAGCTGTGATTTTGAGGAATTTTTGACTTTTGCGGGGGCAGACTGGCAGTGATTCTCGGGAATTTTGTGTTTTACAGGGCAGGCTGGCAGCGATTTTTGAGGAATCTTGATTTTTAGAAGAGCAAGCAAATTTATGCGCAATTTTGGCATTTAAGGCAGATTTAAGGCAGAGGTTCATGGGGAATTTTGGACTTACAGGAGCAGGCTAGCAAAGTTTCTGCAGGAATTTTCGTTTTTAAAGGGCAGGCTAGCAGGGATTCTTGAGGGATTTTGGATTTAGAGACATTTTACTTTCAGGGAGTTTTAAAACCGAAATATTAAGGCAGGCGAGCAGAGATTCTCCATGAAATTTGACAACGCTAGGGCAAATAGCAGCGATTTTTTCAGTAATTTCCTTTTACTTGGCATACTAGCAAAGAAACTTGCGGAAATCCGGAACCAAACCGCGACGCTGCAGCCTATCAAAATATTTCCCCAGCCTCAAAAAAGACCGTTTTCCCCCGGAGGGGAAAGGAAAAGAAGAACGCCCGCCTGCAAAACGGGCGGATTTGCCGGTATTGGCGGGTCCTGTTGAACGTGGGAAAGTGAAGGGGGAGGAAGGGAAAGGGAACGGTTCTCTCGCTCTCTCTCTCTCTCTCTCTCTCTCTCTCTCTCTCTCACCCTGCTACCAGTTGTTGTTTCTAAGTGGCCCCCATCCCGCCCTCTTTTGCTGGATCGTCTTTTTCCCTGGTAATACTCTACTATCGACTTGGATAGGCTAGCAAAGGTTATGTGAGGAATGGAGTCGGGTCTGGAGATTTCTCTAGTTTCTTCTGTTTGTAGCGTTTCTCCCTATTTCTCGCTCTGTTTCTCTCTCTCTTTCTCTTTGTCTCTATCTCTCTCCGTCTCTCTCGCTCTCTCTCACTCTCCCTCGCGCTCTCTCATGTTACCACCCCTTTAAAATTAATTCCAACCCCTGCTCGACCCCTTCAGAGTCCTACACTATTTTTGTTCGCCCCCCATTTTGGATTGACTGTCCAGAGTATCGTTGTGTTTTTCGTGGTTCCACCCATTTCGCTGTTTAATCCGATCGAGCCCCCCTTTCCATCGACAACGAGACCGTTGCGGGCGCGCCCCGCGGAAAAAAATGGGCAGAAGGGTGTATCGTAGCTAGGCTATCGGAAAGCTGCCATTAATGCTTTCCGTTTGTTTAAGATCATTTGCACGAAATTTTCAAGTCGTAATCGAATAACCCCCATCAAAATCTCTAGCTTCAAGTTTCGTTTTGTAACTGATTACGATACCAACGCGTAGCGCGTATCCATGGTTCATGCCGTAATAGATTATGCCATGAAAGTAGTTAGTTAATCGATTACGCTTTTAAAATAGCGTCGCCAGAAAATTTTCATGTCGTAATCGATCAGACGAGGTGCACATAAGGCCGGATTTTTTATATTGGAATAGATTACGATAGTAAACAAGCTTGTCCACGATATTTTCATGTCGTAATCGATTCCGCCATAAAATATTCCCTCCTGCCTTGCTAATCCCTTTAATCATTGACACCCGCGTTCGATCCATCCTCCCCCAATATCGACTACACCCTGCGTGTTTTTTTAGTTCTTTTTTTTGCGTATAGGACGGCACAACCGGTATCCGTTTCTGTGTCTCCCCCCTCTTCGCTCTTCGAAAAAGAGGCATCAACCATTGAGTGGCTACTGGGGTAGAGGGGGTGATGTTGTGTTTTTCGATTAGCACACTGCACAGCCAGATCGCGCGCGAAATCGAGAGGAGGGCCCCACGACAAATTGCGGGGGTGTCGATATTTTGGGCGGTGATAAACAGACTGATTTGGGTATGATTTTGGAATGGTTGTTTCTCTCGGTTTAGGTCTCTCTATCTCTCGCTCTCTCTCTCGATCACCCTCACGGTCGCTGGGCGTTTCTCCCTCACTCTTGCTCGGTCTCTTCTCGCTCTACCTCAGTCTCTCTCTCTCTCTCTCTCTCTCTCTCTCTCTCTCTCTCTCTCGCTCGCTCGCTCGCTCGCTCCCCAAGATCCTCTGCTAGGCTGCCCGACCCAGGCGACGTTCCTAAATTTCCTTGGCAACGTTCCGTAGCCCGTCCAAATTGCGGAACCAACGTGGATAGGTGTGTGACGGAGTGTAGCCCCCTGCTATTGAAGGGCTTTTAGATAACGGGAGGGGAAATGTCCAAAGTGCCATCCCCTATTATGGAGGGTCATTTTGAGGGCTGGAAGCTTGGGTGCTGTCAACAATATCACAGCGGAACCGGGCTGTGTTTGCACGTTTTCGTGTTATGCACGGATTTAAAAGGGGTTGGAACGGATTGAAAAATTTGGAAAATTGTGGATAGTACTGTGGTGGAATTTTGACGTGTTTTTTTACCAATTTGAGGTCTCGCTAGACGCTCGTGCTCCATTTTAAAGGGGCCGGGAAGTCGATATTTTTGGGCAGGCTAGCAGTGACGATTGAGGAGATTTAGAAGATATCATTTAGGAAAGCTAGCGGAGACCCTTGGCTCGAACTCAACCCCTGCACAATTCCCCCAAAAGCCGCTAACCCCCAGGCCTTCTCGCCAGAATCGATATATTCTCTGTTTCACACCCTCCACCCCTTCTGCCAAGCCACCAGCCAGCCGTTCTGAATTCTATTAAGCGCCTCAGGGATGGGGGGCGGCCCCCAGCCTGGCACCAATATTTTCTTGACCGCCAAAATATGCAGAAAGCGGCTTTTTTCAGAGTTCTGTACCTAAATGTTCTCTGCTACAATGGGATCGTTTTTCCTGAAGCCGTCCTGCTAGTCTGCAGTCCTCAAAATTGATCAATGACCTGAAAATCCTTAGCAATCTCTGCTAGCCTGCCTAGCATGGCTGGATTTGGCGCTCAGCCTGTCGCTCACTCTCTATATTTACCACTCGCTCCCTCTCGCTCCATCGCCCTCTCTCTCTCTCTCTGTCTCTCTCTCTCTCTCGCTCTCTCTTTCTCTCTCCCGCTCTCTCTTCTCTCTTTGTCTCGCTCTGCCTCGCTCTCTCTCATTCTCTCTCCTCTCACTCTCCCTCTCAATCCCAATATACTGCTATACTCCACTCTACCTTCCGGCCTCCTCCCTGTTTTCGCGACAATGTGCCAACAAATCTGAGCGCCACTAACTGGGCCATGTGACCGGTACAGCTGATATTGCAGCCAAACGGTCGTCAGAATCACGATAAGCGCCGGGTAGGGATTCCGTGGGGGGCAGTGTACGCACGGCAACTCTTTGCACTTTGGGCCCGCGACCAAATTAGAGGGGCAAGGGGTACGGCTAATTTTTGGAATTTTTCCATTTTTAAAGTTTTTTTGCGATTTTTGTAGCTTGTAGTCCCGAGCAAAACGTGTCGTAATAAATTTTATTGAATCTAGTCATATTTTTAAATACTAAATATTACTTTGTTGAGAATATGCTTAATTCAACCTTTTATTATTCTCTAGACTGAAGCAAAAGCCAAAATTTCAAAGCTAAATCCTACAAATTCAATTTCAATCTCCCTGTATCTCTCGCTATCTCTCTCTTTCTCTATCTCTCCCTCCTACTCTTCCTCCTTCGCGCTTCCCTCTCATGCTCTCTCATATTTTCTGTCTTCCTATGTCCATCGTTCTGTCTCTCACTCTCTGTCCGTCTCTAACGGTCTCTCTCGCTCTCTCACGCCTGCCGGCACGCCCCCTTTAAGCGCATAAAATCGGCCATCACTTCACCGTATTTTCCGCAAAATATTCCGTATAGCCCCTAAATTCCGCAAGGCTACTCTATCAGAGTATCATCACTCGTGTTCTCCGCACGGCAAACATTGCCTTTCCACTCCCAACAAAAACTCGCAGGGGCACGTGAATCAGGTGGTGGCCGTTCATTTTTTTCTGTTTTTCGTGTGGTGATTGCCTGAAACCGGCAGGAGTAACCAACCCACGCAGCAGCTGACCCCCGCGGAAACAGGGATATCGATATGTGTGATTAGGAGTCGGTTTTGAAAAGGTCGTTTTAACGTAGTAAAAGTTGCGCTGAAGCTATTGGAATTTTTTTATTTTGTCTCGCTCTCTCTCTCTATCTATCTATCTCTCTCGCTCTCTCTCCCTCTCTCTCTCCCTCTCTCCCCTTCTCGTTCTTATTCTCGTTCTCGTTCTCGACCTCTCTCACTCCCTAAGTGAACTTCTTCCAGACGCCGCCATGAACGAGCCGAGCATCTCGGGCGTCTCCCATCATCAGAATTATCGATTGCTGAGTGCACAGGTACGGTATCGGAGCGAGAGAAAGAAAGAGAGAGAGAGAGAGAGAGAGAGAGAGAGAGAGAGAGAGTGGGTGAGAAACCATTCCCGCATTTTCCAGGGTGATGTCCCCCTCCTCGCCCCTGGCAGTCAAGCAGAAGTCCCCCACTTCCTCCTGGACGAAGATTGGCATTGGGTGGATGACAAGGTATTCCCTATCCCTTCCCCTCATCTACCGTATATTCCAGCGAAACGGCGATGTCGAGGTGTCTCGCGATCAGGTCGTCTTCCACCCCACCTATGCCTACGGTACCTCCGGCGTTCGGGGCAATAAGAAATTGATAAGGTACGGTAGGTGTTGGAGGACTACATCCCAGATCCGAATCCCTAATTAGCATACGCTACATTTCCGGCTCTATTGTCCCCCATTTGTCGATGCTCCCCCTCATTGTTCTGTATCTTTCCCCCACCGCTTGGTCTGCCCTCACCTGGAATAAACCTTTCGTCTACCTCACCCACAACCACAACAACTGGCGAGCAAGGATTCGAAGACATGGCCGACCCCGAGATCAAGGCTCTGCTGAAGCAGATGACGGAAATGATGGCTGCTGGACAGGAGCGTGAGAAGAAGATGAAGGCACAGCTCGAGGCCTACCGCGCTGAGACCCAAACGCACATGGGCACAGTTAGCGAAGACCCTCTGGATAAATCCGCAGGTCCAAGCCATCCCAGGCCTCTGGATGCGGTCGAGCTGAGCGCCCTTTGCTCACGACTCGTTCGGTTCGAGTATGACCCATGTTTGGGGCTTACGTTCGAAAAGTGGCACGAGAGGTTTGTTAACCTCGTCTCCACGGAACCGCGCATCACTGAGGATAACAAGAAACACCTTGTTCTCAGTATGCTGGATGGCAAAACCTATAGCCTCCTAGCGGATCACGAAAGACCAACGGAATTGTCTGCCGTGAAATATCCCGACATGATCAAGTCGCTGACAGACATGTTCGGTGAGAAAATGTCGCAGTTCAGTCGACGTTTTCTGGCATTCCGTGTGGCCAAAGCAGCCGACGAGGATATGCACTCCTACGCAGCACGCGTCAACAAGCTGTACGAGCTTGGTCGTGTCAAGGAGATGAACGAGGACGAGACGAAATGTCTTTTATTCGTTGCTGGACTTTCCGATCAGGAAAATCGAGATATCCGCAAGAGACTGTTGCACATTCTGGAGTCAAAGAATGGTGTCAAGTTGAGCGATTTGCTACGCGAATGCGATATGCAAAGTTCCCTGAATATGGATATGGTCGTTGAGCAGAATATGCAAAATGCCAACGTGAACCGGGTTCACCAGCAATCGGGTTTCCGAAAGAATTGGAAACGCGAGCGAGAGCCAACCTCTAGCAAGGGTTACTCGTCGCGACCGGAAACCAATGATCGGTCCCCGCGAGACAAGCGGAATGACAACTGTAATCGTTGTGGAAAGAGCGGACACTGGGCAAGAGAGTGTCGCGCAGACCCTGGCAATAACCGCGGTGCTAATTTTTCAAAGTCGAAAAATCACCAAGCCAAAGACTGGAAGCCGAAGGTGAACATGGTTGTTCATATCAATGCCGTAGACTCGAGTCGGAAAGACGTCGAGCTCTCAATCGAAGACGTTCGCTTCACTTTGCAATTGGATACTGGTGCAGCCGTCACCATCATCGATGAAGCTGTTTGGCGCAAATTGAACTGCCCCCAGCTGATTCCATCCAATATTCAATTACGAGCTGCAAATGGCGGTCCAATTGAAGTGCAAGGAAGCTTCGATACCAATTTCGAAGTGAAAGGCATTGTCGGTCATGGCAAGTGCTTTGTCACGAAGAACATCAGATTGATGGGGCTTGATTGGATAAATCAGTTGCCACAGTTCGCTTCGTGCATCGATGAGCTGTGCGTGAACAAGGTCGCACTGAAAGAGTCAATGCTCGAGAAGGAGCTGGTCCTGAAGTACCCAAGTGTCTTCAAAGACGGACTGGGCTTGTGCACAATGGCCAAGGCTGAGCTTCAGCTGAAGCCTGATGCAAAGCCAGTTTTCCTACCGTTCCGACGGGTCGCGTATTCAATGGAAGCTGCCATTGAGAAGGAAATGGACCGACTTGTACAGTTGACGGTCCTCAAACCGGTCACTTACAGTCAGTGGGCCGCGCCCGTCGTACCAGTCAAGAAGAAGGACGGTACCATGAGACTGTGTGGTGACTTCTCCACAGGCTTGAATGAGGCGTTGGAGGATTACCATCATCCGCTCCCAACCGCCGAAGACATCTTCACCAAGCTGAATGGTGGACAGATCTTTTCGCAGATTGATCTGAAAGATGCGTACCTACAGATTGAGGTTGAGCCTGAGAGCCAAGAATACCTGACAATCCACACTCATAAGGGCTTGTTCCAATATCAAAGGCTGATATTCGGAGTCAAAACAGCACCCGGAATATTCCAGAAGATCGTGGATAACTTGATCGCAGGCCTGGACGGGACCGCTGCCTACCTGGATGATCTGTTGATCACCGGCCGGAACCAGGAGGAGCATGACGACAGGGTCCGTCGTTTATTTGAGCGAATCCAAGAGTTCGGATTGCGCGTCAAAATGGAAAAGTGCTCGTTCGGCCAGCCTTCGGTGAAGTATCTTGGCTTCATTCTTGATGCCCAAGGCCGAAGGCCGGATGGCCAACGCACGGCTGCGATAGCAAGTATGCCATCACCTACCTGTCTCAAGGAAGTTGAGAGTTTTTTGGGCATGGTATCATTTTACCAGTCATTCATTCCTCGTATGCGGCAGATGCGCGCCCCGCTTGACGAGTTGAAGAGGAAGGACAAAAAGTTTGTCTGGCATGAGGACTGCGAAAAGGCTTTCCAGTCGCTCAAGGAGATTGTCATCTCCGACTTGTTGCTCTGTCACTATGACGCCAAGCTACCCATTGTCGTCGCCGCTGATGCCAGTGAGCAGGGTCTTGGGGCGGTCATCACTCACAGATTTGCGGATGGGTCGGAAAAGGCCATCGCGCATGCCAGCAGGGCATTGAGTGTGGGAGAGAAGAACTACAGCCAGATCGAAAAGGAAGGCTTGGCCCTCATTTTCGCGATTCGGCGCTTCCATCGATACATCTATGGAAGGCGTTTCGTGCTCCTGACGGACCACAAGCCCCTTTTGCCAATATACGGGTCGAAAAAAGGCATTCCGCAGCACACCGCAAATCGATTGCAGCGTTGGTGCTTGTTGTTGAACAACTACGATTTCTCCATCGAATATCGTAACACGACCAAGTTCGGTCAAGCGGATGCGCTTTCCCGTCTGATTCCGCCAAAAGCTGAACCTGACGAAGACGTCGTTATTTCGCAGATAGAAATCGACGTATCAGCAGTTTTTGAGGAAAAACTGAGCCGAGTTCCAATTTCGCACAAGGAAATTGCATCACAAACGGAGCAGGACTACCATCTTGGCACTGTGATTGAATATCTGAAAAGTGGAACGTTCCCAGACTGTTTGCCAGGCTCGTCTTTGTACGCCTTCAAAAGTCTTGTTTCCAACTTGTCAATTCACAAGGGTTGCCTATTCCTGAAAGAGCGAGTTGTCGTCCCGAAGAGACTTCAATCTCGAGTCCTGAAAATGCTCCTCGAAGGACATCCTGGTCAGACCAGAATGAAACTCCTTGCGAAACAGTATGTCTATTGGATCGGCATGGATACAGACATCGACCGCATTGTCCGAGAATGCGAGGGCTGCCAGAAAGCGCAGAAGATGCCTGTGAAAAGTGAATTGACCCCCTGGCCTATTACCAATCGTCCGATGGAACGCGTGCATATTGACTACGCAGGTCCCATCGACGGGAGAATGCACCTGGTATTCGTTGATGCCTACTCTCGTTGGCCAGAGATCCACGATTGTAAGGTCGCCACCAGTCGTACGACGATTGCCCAGTTGAGAGACATCTTCTCAAGGTTCGGAGATCCGGAAACGCTTGTTTCGGATAATGGGACTCAATTCACTTCGAAGGAGTTCGAAGAGTTCTGTATGGAGCGTGGCATAAAGCATGTACGCACGCCTCCGTTCCACCCTCAGTCGAACGGTTTGGCTGAACGCTTCGTCGATACCTTTAAGCGCGCTCTGAGCAAAGCCGCTGGTTCGACGAATGCGGAAACGTTGCAAGTCTTTTTGCGAACGTATCGGGCCACTCCATGCCCCTCTTCGCCACAACAGTTCTCTCCGGCTGAATTGTTTATCGGGAGAAAGCTTGTTACTCCTATTGCGCGTTTGGCTCTTCCATCGAGCAACGGCAATGTCCAAGTCGTTCTTCAAAAAGAGGAGAAGACGACGATGGTTGAGCAATACAACCGGCGTCACGGTGCTCGCAAGAGATCGTTTGAGATCGACGCCACGGTTTGGGTTCGCGACTATCGAAAGCCGAACAAACCAGCCTGGGTCGAAGGGCGTATTTCCAAGCTACTTGGAAAGTCTCTGTATGAGGTTGAGCTTCCCTCAGGAGATTCTTGGCGCCGACATGCCAATCAGCTGCGTCGTCGATACGTTCGAGACGTATTGCACGATATTCTGGATGAATTCGATCTTCCCAGTACTGATGTCAATGTGCAGGACACTCGTCCACCTCTTGACTATTCCAATCACATGTCGCCGGCCACCGATACCACATCGGTTGTACCCGCCCCCACTCTTGATGTACCTGTGCCCCGTGTTCCCCATCACCCCGCTCAACACCATACCATCCCGGACAAGAAGGCCTCCCCTGGACGCACCACCAAGGCGTCATCGGATCGCACCAACTCACGTGCTCAAGGACAACCCACTGCTGACGGACAAGCTGAAGACGTTCAACCTCGAAACGTCAAGTCCAAGGAGTTGCAAAACCTCGGACCCATTCTCGACGGCAAGCGCGACCGAAAGAAGACTGTTCGCTTCCAACTCTGATGTGCCAACATCGTGTTCACTCTACAAGTCACGCGCGCCCACATCATCGACAAGTTCAATGGTCCCATGCTGATGTGCCACACTCGTTCCGCACCTCAAGTCAAGCCGTCATCGCCACCTCAAGTTCAACTCGTTCAAGTCCGACCGTCCGCAGCGCTCATCTTTGAAGGAGGGAGATGTTGGAGGACTACATCCCAGATCCGAATCCCTAATTAGCATACGCTACATTTCCGGCTCTATTGTCCCCCATTTGTCGATGCTCCCCCTCATTGTTCTGTATCTTTCCCCCACCGCTTGGTCTGCCCTCACCTGGAATAAACCTTTCGTCTACCTCACCCACAACCACAACAGTAGGGAAGGCATACGGTAGTTTTTGAAGGCATAAGGACCCCGAAAAGCTTCAGAATTCAGCCACGGGTTTCATATGCAGTTTCTAGAGGATGTGTGGCATACTGGGAGATAATCGTCGCCGGGAAGCTGTACGGCACCTCCGTCATGTTCGGCATCGGTACTTCGAAGGTCAAGGTAATCTTTAGGCATTAATTGGCTTAATTTTCTGTTGAAAAATTCTACAGTAACCGTTCCTAGCCTACCGTAACCTATCGTAGCCTACCGTAATCCCGCGTTTTCAGACGAAACTTGAGTGGATGTTTGCGGATTTGTTGGGATCGGACACCGAGTCGTACGGACTCAACCACCAGGCCATTGCCCAGCATAATGGGCTGATGGTCAGGGCGGCCAGGACACCCATGGTAAGTGGCTTTTGGGGCTAAGAATCTCTGCTAGCACGCCCAAGTCAATTCTAAACTTCTAGCGAAAAAGCAAAAAGTTTTGCCTCAGACGGGATCGAACCCTGATGATGCGGGTGAGAGGCTTGAGCGTAACCATTCAGCCAAAGATAAAAACCCCCAAAATCCCCAAATAATCTCTGCTCCCACCACCACCTCCCCGTTTCAGCCAGAGGACAATTGCGTAGTCGGTATGTTATTCGACGGCCGTGAGGGGACCCTCTCGTATTTTGTGAACGGGCAATTCCTGTGTACACCATTTACCTGTATCGACATGACGAAGGAGTACTATCCAATGATCTCCAGGTAAGGAAAGATCACTGGGTACGGTAGATTGAGCACGTTTTAGCACCGCGCAGCAATCGAGGTTTATCGTCCAGGCCCAAAAATCGTTGTATCCGATCGACACGCTGGAGGTGATGGCGACAAAGAGGGTGGGTTTTAGATTAAATTATGAAATTCATCGAAAATGAATTATTTAAAGTCCAAAGGGACTGTCAAAGCTGACCAGAATAATTTCGCTGTGGATTTGGAAAATTCCTCTCCAGTCAGCCCCTTTAAAATGACCCCCCTTCAGGTCTCCCATCTCCTCCTCGACGACTCGGCCGACAATCTACCCCTTCCCACCGCCCAGAAACACGCCGTCGACGCCGCGAAGCAACGCCGTGACGAATTGTGAGTGGCTTTGGCAAAAAGCAAAAGTTTGCTTGGCTGGGAGTCGAACTCGGGTCGAATGGGTATCAAGCTAGCGTACTACCAAACGAGAATGCCGAAAATCAAGATGTCGGCATCTCCTAATGTCGAAAATTCAGAATGCCGTCATCTCCGAATGTCGAAATTAGAATGTCGACATTTTTTTTTTAAAATGCCGACATGCCGAATGTAAAAATCTCGGCGTCTCAGCTTGTCGAAATTTTAATATGTCGACAGTTTCGACAGTGAATTTCGATGCTACAAATTTCGACATTCTGAAATATCGACAGTTTGAAATGTCGGCATTTTGAAAATTATAAGTGTAAGTGTTTTTTCTAAAAAAAACCAGTTTATCCCCTCCATTTCCAGGCGTGCCCAGGGCCAACATCTGGCCCAATGGACGGCGCATCGTCTCGTACTTCCCGACGACGTCTTCAGGACTGTGCTGGAAAAAGTGAGACTGGCCGCCCAGGCCCAGCAACAGCCCCGTCTCTACAATCACGTCAATTGTCGATAGTGTATTTTAATTTTGTGGTGTAGTTTGTAGTTTCCCGCGTGCTTCTAGCCTTAAAAAGGCAAAATTCAGCTTTTTCGGTTTCTAATTTCCAGCATTTTTGTGTATTCGCGTCTTTCTGCCCGCCAAATATTCAAAATCCCTTGTCGACCTATCCCTGATGAAATGTATTTATTCGTATTCTTTTTGTATTTATCAGGTTGGAAGGTAAGTCCTGTCGCCGAGATTTTGGAAGGCTGGCTAAAATCGTAGTTAACTCCATTCTGCACATGCGATATGTCATTTTGTAGCTCTCTGCCTGAACGGTTTCGGGAGGTGGGTCCTAGCCTGCCAAAATCCAGGAGGACGGAGATAAGGGCCCAAGAAGTTTTTCAAAAAATTATCAAAAAGTGTTTTTGCAAGTTATTTCTGCATAGAGTAATTTGCATGCGATACCTTTAACGCCAATCGATAGCCCTCGGGGAGTAGATATCGATAGATGTTGAGATCATCGTAATTGGACACTGGACAGCCGAGATATGGGCCTTTGAAATTTGGATCATTTCTTAGAACTTTTCTCGAAATCCCATACATTTCGCTGGATTTTACCGGCAGGTGCCGAAAATTGCCGCTTTATTTTTGGACGCGCCGAGCGGATTTTGATCAAATGTATGGGATTTCGATAAAAGTTCTAAGAAATGATCCAAATTTCAAAGGCCCATATCTCGGCTGTCCAGTGTCCAATTACGATGATCTCAACATCTATCGATATCTACTCCCCGAGAGCTATCGATTGGCGTTAAAGGTATCGTATGCAAATCACTCTATGCAGAGATAACTTGCAAAAACACTTTCCCTCAATTTTTCCAAAAACTTCTTGGGCCCCATATCTCGATCCTCCTGGATTTTGGCCGGCTAGGACCCACCTCCCGAAACGGTTCAGGCAGAGAGCTACAAAATGACATATCGCATGTGCAGAATGGAGCTAACTACGATTAGCCAGCCTTCCAAAATCTCGGCGACAGGACTTACCTTCCAACCTGATACTTATTATATTCATTAGAATAAGCCCTTTCTCCCCCCTTTTTGCTGTTTATTTTTCTTTTTTATTTTTACTCCTTTCCAGTCATAAAATGTGCTATATTCCTTTTTCTACCGTATTGTTTTGTCGACCACATATTTCCTATTTTCCTCTTCTTTCCTTATCAATCCCCCCCTAGTCGGAAGCAGCTTTTGTGCCAAAATGAAGTCTTTTCCGGGAAAGCTTGGAACGAAAAAAATCAAAGCAGAAAATTCACAGCACCCCTAAAAATCTATAAAATATACGGCAAAAAGCCTAGATTTTGGCCACGAAGGGAAAGAGAAAGCACTAAAATGCTATTGCCATTTTTGCTGTTTGCATTCGCAGCATTGGCCAATTGTCAGGAAGTACAGGTGGGGATACGGTGGCAGGGGCATGGTTTAAAATGTCGAAAACAACAATGCCGACATGGCAATTCTAAAATCCGCGTATTGTCGCAATTTTACTACGTTGAAATCATAATACCGACAATGGGGGGATTATCGGGGGGAGCTCTTTTCTAAGGATCCATTCTTTCAAATATAAATAGCGGATGTGTTTCTAAGCTGTTTTTTCTATTTCTCAACCTAAAAAGCTCTAAATTTTGTAAAAAAACCATGTTAAAAATATGGATTTTTCGACCAAACGTTCGTTTTTTCGATTTTCGGTCGGGATTTCTTCGATAACTGCAAAATTTAGTGAAACGAAATTTCGACATTATAATTTTTGACAAATAGGACCAGGCCTGCCAAGCAGATGCTGACTGCACTGCCCCGTTCGCGCGATGTGTTGAGATCGACACTGCAAATCGGACGGCCATGATGTGTGTTAGTAAAACCGAGGTTCGAAATTTATCTAAAATTTTAGTTTTATAAATTTATAACATTTAAATTGTGTTTTTAACTAAAAGTTTTGATAACTTAACACTTAACACTTCTGCTTGAACCTAGAAGCATTCAAATTTTACAGTAAAAATTCTTTTTATCACTTGAACCGCTAAAATGTAGAAGACTTGAGGCTGAAATTAATATAATTTAAACCCTAATTTACGCTAATTTAGCCGTAATTAAGTATGTATATTACCCTATGAGTTTTAGACATGGTTCTACCCGGCGCCGTTTTGCCCGGAAAACCGATGCGCCGACGGGCTGAGCTGCTACCCGTTGGCTGGCTCGGACAAAAAATTGTGCGGGTCTACGGCAAATTACAAAGTACAGTCGCAGGGTTACGGTAATCTATCCGTGGTTTAGAAAGTCAGAGCGGCCTATCATCCGTGTAATTTGGCGGCCGATTGCGGGGCCGGGTTCACGTGCGCTCGGCTGCTTGGCACGCAAGTTATGGGATGTGCGCCGATGGGCAGGGTTGGTTTTCGCAGTTTTTTTCGCCATAATACCCCAAGAATATTTGCTAGCATATTTAGCAAAAAAGAGCTAAAATATCTAAAAAAACATCTAAAACCTTCCAAAAAAACCTATCGAAAATTCTAAGAGTGAAAAGATATCGAAACAGGCTAATAGGCAATTCGGAGCTTTTCCATTATCGGGGGAACAACTTTATAGTATTTCTAAACGTAAACCTTTACAAATTGTCGTTTAAAAATACGAAAAAATATCGATTTTCGACAAAAAATATCGATTTTCGACAAAAATGGCCGATTTCCATCAAAAATTTCAAAATTTACGCGGTTTTTAAATGGTTCTCTAGTTGAAATATACCCAAATTTTACTTAAAAAAACACTATTAAAACCCTTCATATTAATAAGCATTTCCGGATTATCAAAATGCACACCCCCCTCCGATAATGCAAAAGATCCGCAGCGAAACTTTAGGCCCAAAAATTGCATTGTTCAAAATTTCAAGAATTAAAATCTTAAAATCTAACCATATTTTTCTAAAAACAATGTAAATTGAATGTAATTATTGCAAATACTAGACATCCAAAAACCCAAAAAATCTAGAAATCGATCGCCTTCTTCAACTGCCCAACTTGCCGTGACAAACCAATGAACGAACCGGAATAAAAGAAAGCATCGATAAACCCAAATAAACGGGGGGCTGTACGATTTATACGGAATTGACGGCATGCGAAGTGGTCGTAGCATGACGTAGGGGGTCATTTCTGGGGTTCGCTGTAGCCACAAATATGGGTGTTGATGCCCGACTGGAAATTCTGCAGCGCCTTCGTGCCACTGCCGAACCCGTTCATGATGATGTCCTGGGAAAATTGGGTTTTTTAATGTTTTAATAAAATTTTTCCTTAGGACCCCATCTTCCAATTTCAATAAATAAAGTATTTCTATGCCGTTGGTATTCCTACACGTAAAATCTTTCCAAAATACGAAAACCGATTAAAAATACGAAAAATCGATTATAAATACGAAAAATATCGATTTTTTTCGACCAAATTTAAGATTTTCACATTTTCGAGGTATTTCAAATATTGTTTCCGCGTGGAATACTTTAAAGCCTACCTTCAACTTGTTTCCCATATAAACGGCCTGCTGATTCGGATTCCACCTATTCCCTTCGGGGCAATCTTAAAAAACATACTTTCTTTGGGAAAAAATCTTTACCGCTCGAGTTTGTCACCGAGCCGGCCGTGGTCGCTGAAAAGATTCATTATTTCTTTTTTGCATGTAATGCATAACTATTTTTATTAGTACGCTAGTGTTTAAATTACATTACGTTTCGTCTATAATAGGCTATAAATTGAAAACCTACTAGTCGGTATCTTGTCCGGATCGTAGGGGAAATTGCACATCTGACCGGCGCATACGCATTTTTGCTGCTGGTTTTTCGTCATTAGGCATCGGACCTAGGCAAGACTTTATAAATAATTTTTCACTATGGTAAATGGCTTAGAATTTCATAATTAAATAACATAATAATGTATGGATGAAAAAAGCTCACGTCCGCACTACCCTCCCACGACGTGGCGCACAGCGAGTAGGGGTATTGGCCGGTCACTAGAAGGGTTTTAAAACGTCCATTGATCCAGAAACACGTTGTTTCACTAAAATGCACCTGTCATACAGTAGCCACCATCGCAAAGGTGGTTCTGATCACATGCAAGTGTGATCACCGTTCCATTGACCTGAACCTGTCCACATTCAAAGCACGGAACCGCATCGTCGGATGGTAAAACGGGGGTGATCGTTTTTCTAAAACCTTCTTTTTCTTTTGTTGCATTATATTACAATAGAAAATCCGTTTGAAAACTACTTTACGGTAGCGATCCGTCTTCCTAATACTAAATCGATGAAAACGACTCACCCGGGGACATTTTCAGCCCAAAATGTCGACAAGTAGACGAGCGTCGGCTGCAGCTTGTTGCAGAAATCGCCCGAACAGGTACAACTCGTCGTTGGCGAGTCGTAGGCGCATGTCTTGAAAGACACCCAATCAATAAAAAAACCTATAACGTACGACATTGGTAGAATCAGCTGAAAGGGTTCCGCATCCAGCCTGCCAAGTCCCCGAATCGTCGACATCTAAAGAAACCCCTATAGTAAAACGATGATAACCTACCAAAATAACATGAAGGGCCCGCGCACAAATTGCCGAGGCTGCAGTACTGGCCGCTGGTGGAGCTTTGCCCGTCACACACGTAGCACACGGCACCGTTGGTCGAGGGAATGATGCAAGCCATCCATACAACCAGTGGCCAAAGACGGGAGCCTCGCCAGTGGCCCCACATCACCTAAAATCGAGTTGAGCACGAGGACAAGAAATAGAAGATTATTAAGATTACGAAAATGAATTGGCAAAAGAAAAGGCGCTTCGGCGTTATCAGGGGTGGAATAATTTTTCTCCTACGAGTCGAGAGATACGCCACAGAATCACTAATGTTATTGATAAAATTTAGATGGATTCTAAGGGCAAAAAAAAACTCTTTAAAATGTTAGTAAAATGTTGCAAACAACTGAAACTAGCAATAAATTTTGGTAGCCCCTCGATAAGAAAGCGCCAAAGAAAATTATACTTGTACGTTACTTTTTTTGTATATAAAGAAGTGGAAATATTTATAAATATCTTAAAAGAAGCTCAATAAATATTAATCTGAAGCTTAGAAACTGTTTAAAACCAGATGGTTACAGTCGCTTCGCGACTGCAACCATCTGGCCTTCGGGCTACCCTACATGTCTCACTCCACCACATCTTTTCCCACCTCCATCAATACCCCCCCATAGCCGAAATCCCCTTCAAAAACTCCCTAAATACCTTCCTGATGGCTTCAGATACCCCCATGGCTGAATTCCCCTTCAAAAACGACCTAACTACCTTCCTGATGGCTTCAGATACCCCCATGGCTGAAATCCCCTTCAAAAACTACCTAAATACCTTCCCGATGGCTTTGGATACTTTAAATAATTTAAATAATTAATTAACATAAATAAAAAGTATTAAAAAGTATTAAAGTAACTTAAGAAAGCGATCTGAACGCGCGAAGGGGCCTGGGGAAGGGGGCGTGGCCTGCCGGGAGAGCCCCCCCCCCACTCGTTTTATTAAGGCGCCACTTTCAAAGTTAATTTTAATATTTTAAACTAAAACTTTTTCGTAATTTTTTTTATCAGTTTGGGGGTTTCTGACCACGCTCTATCCGAATCCGAAGAGAGCTAACTGTAAAGTGTTTTTACTCAACTTGGAGTTTCGATTCGGGACCAAGTGCATCCTGTACAGAATTTTTCGCTGATTCCGAATATGTTTTCCAAATTTGCTACGGACCGTTATTCTGAAAGTTATACGGCAATTATGACCCTAGTTTTCACCAAAAAGAAGGTATCGTTATAGTTTTCGATTTTCTTCATTAATTTCAACGTCAAAATTGACTAGACGTTGGCTCGACAAGCATCCTACCGCTCAAAAGCAAAAGAAATGACGCAGGGCGGGGTTCGAACCGCCGCCCTGCGCTTGGCAAGCGAGTACTTTGCCAATGCACCATGGTGCCAACTGGGAAGGGTGCTGTCAGAGGGTACTTCAGGGCCCCTGGGCACCATAGCCCCAAACTAGAGTGCGGCTTATTCAAATCAAATCGCGACTCAAACCGGTTTGATTTGAATAAGGGCGGTTTGAATAAGAAACTGCTTTTCAAATCAAACCGGTTTGGTTTGAATAAGGATCCGTTATTCAAACCAAACCGACCAGGTTTGAGTTGGTTTGAATTGGTTTGAACAACAGGCAAATCAGCATGTTAATCGATTGGATCGATGCTAATCGGCTAAGTTTTCGAAGCATCCCTTCTAAAATCCTGTGTGATCAATATAATGATGAAATTGGCATCATTTACGGGGTTTACGCACTTTTTCAACGATAGGCTTGGCATTCTCGACCTTTCACAAGCATCCAAAATGGTCGGGATAACCTCGGCCGCGTTGAAAGAAAAAGGTCTCGAAATGATCCGCTAACCCCAAAAACCTGGCAGGAATGCTGCTGGACCACCCTAAAGTGAAGTCACAAAAGGATTGGTGCCAAAACGCAAAAATGGTGCCGAAAACAGACTGTTTCGGAGACTGGTTCTTATTCAAACCTTGTTCAAATTATTCAAACCGGTTTGGTTTGGTTTGAGTTGGGAATCCTTATTCAAACCGGGTTTGGTTTGAATAAGGATCCCGTATTCAAATCAAACCGGTTTGATTTGAATAACGGAAATCTTATTCAAACCCGGTTTGAATAAGCCGCACTCTAGCCCCAAACAAGGAATAGTGGGCCAGCGTCTGAATTTTTGGCATTTTTCGGCCTAATTGTTACCGAAAATGATTTTTTAAATAAAAGTCCGTAGCAAATTTCGAAACCATATTCGAAATCAGCGAAAAATTCTGCACAAGATGCGCTTGGTCCCGAATCGAAATTGCAAGTTGAGTAAAAACACTTTACAGTAAGCTCTAGCTCTTTTCCCCTTCGAGTGGAATTCGGCTTCAGACGGACGGACGGACAGAGACCACAGCAAAATTATTATAGTTGATACAGAATTATAAATTAAGGCATGGACTCAACGGAAAAACATAGCTTTCCAGATTATCCAAGTTTCCGAAAC